ACTAACTAACTAACTAACTAACTAACTAACTAACTAACTAACTAACTAACTAACTAACTAACTAACTAACTAACTAACTAACTAACTAACTACTAACTAACTAACTACTAACTAACTAACTAACTAACTAACTAACTAACTAACTAACTAACTAACTAACTAACTAACTACTAACTAACTAACTACGAACTAACAACTAACTAACTAACTAACTAACTACTAACTAACTAACTAACTAACTAACTAACTAACTAACTAACTAACTAACTAACTAACTAACTAACTAACTAACTAACTAACTAACTAACTAACTAACTAACTAACTAACTAACTAACTAACTAACTAACTAACTAACTAACTAACTAACTAACTAACTAACTACTAACTAACTAACTAACTAACTAACTGAACTAACTAACTACTACTAACTAACTAACTAACTAAGCTAACTAACTAACTAACTAACTAACTAACTAACTTAACTAACTAACTAACTAACTAACTAACTAACTAACTAACTAACTAACTAACTAACTAACTAAATAACTAACTAACTAACTAACTAACCAACTAACTAACTAACTAACTAACTAACTAACTAACTACTACTAACTAACTAACGACGAACGAACTAACTAACTAACTAACTCCTAACTAACTAACTAAACCTAACTAACGAACTAACTAACTAACTAACTAACTAACTAGCAACTAACTACTAACTAACTAACTAACAACTAACTAACTAACTAACTAACTAACTAACTAACTAAACTAACTAACTAACTAACTAACGAACTAACTAACTAACGAATACTAACTAACTAACTAACTAACTAACTAACTAACTACTACTAACAACTAACTAACTAACTAACTAACTAACTAACTAACCTAACTAACTAACTAACTAACTAACTAACTAACTAACTAACTAACTAACTAACTAACTAACTAACTAACTAACTAACTAACTAACTAACTAACTAACTAACTAACTAACTAACTAACTAACTAACTAACTAACTAACTAACTAACTAACTAACTAACTAACTAACTAACTACTAACTAACTAACTAACTAACTAACTAACTAACTAACTAACTAACTAACTAACTAACTAACTAACTAACAACTACTAACTAACTAACTAACTAACTAACTAACTAACTACTAACTAACTAACTAACTAACTAACTAACTACTAACTAACTAACTAACTAACTAACTAACTAACTAACTAACTAACTAACTAACTACCTAACTACTAACTAACTAACTAACTAACTAACTAACTAACTAACTAACTAACTAACTAACTAACTAACTAACTAACTTACTTACTTACTTACTTACTAAGTCTTGCACTATATAAAGTCATTTGCACCTAATTTAGAATATAACGTGTAGATATCCTTTATAAGACTAAAATGTAGGTCGAATGATGGTCTTATTAAATAAATGTTTAAACTTTGAATTGGTTTGTTTAGTTCGTCATAAAATTTAACCACAAATAACTTTAAATATAAATTTTTTTTGATGTTCTGTGTAATTAAATGATTCATTTAGTAACATTATTTGCTCAACTTACATTTCATTTTATTGCAGCAAACAACAAGTTTTTTTTTATAAATTTAGGTTAACAATTTAGATGAAACATCAAAATTCTTGACAGAACCCAAAACAAAACCTGTTATCAAACCAGGAACAGGTTGGGTTTTACATATTTGTGCTTTGACAGATTCATTAAAAATATAATGAACTTTTTCATATACACACACGTATTAAAGGTAATTGTGGGTGTTTTTGAGATTTTTTTATAAATTTAAAATGACAATAATGTTCATATGAGAAAACGTGCTTAAAGATGAGAAAATCTTAAGTAATGTTGACATTTTTCATAAATTTTCAATTAAAGTTTTTTAACTCATAACTACTGGTTTTAAAAATTAAATGTAGACACGTAAAGTTAAACAATTTTCTCAAAAGAAGTGTGTTTAGTAGAGGGGCCTGAGCACATACCGGAAGTTTAAGATGGAAACTACTAAAGAGTTGAGATAAAATTAGAATTAGATTTTGGCTATTATTTAGCTTACAATTCATATAAAACCTTGTGGTGCTTAAAATTAATAATTTCCTAGTTTCCACTTTCAAACCATAAATTTTACATTCATTTTTCTTTTATTATTTTTTTTTTAATTTTTGAAGTGTTGACTTGTGAATTGGTTATTTGAGTCGTGAAAATGCTTTTTTTGCTAAATTTAAGCACAATTTTTGGCAAAAACTATTTAAGCTATTATTTTCAATTCATTTTTTTTTTGACAATCGATAAATCTGTCACTTGTAAAACTGAAAATGATCTTTTACTGTCTGCAGCAACAAAACAAAAAATCCATTAAATGATTTTGTTTTTGGTTTTTCTTTAGTGAAGGGATCATCATTTTCATCACTATTGTATTCGTTCAATTGCCAAAGACATTAACAACACTAAGATGGCTTGATTATATAAAAATAACCGAAAAAAATAAAACTAAATTCCGAAAAGCAAAACTTTTGAAAATAATAGAAATAAAGTCGAATAAAACACCATTAGTTTGCTAAGTACTCTCGCATAAGTATGTCTGCAAATTGTGAAAAGTGATAAAATGTCGTTTAGTAGATTTATGTGTGATTAGGTCACGACAAAATGCAATTTTCCATTTCAACAATGTCTTACTGTTACTTATAGGATTCATGCATTAGCTCTTACTCACTTATAGCTACACACTTTTATATAGTCACTTAAGCTTTTGCTTAAAGTCACTTAGTCATATGTTCTCTCACTTTTATGCTAAAAGCAGAAGATTATTTTGGTTAAAAGAAAATTAATGGTTTGAAATGAAAAAAAACCAGCTTAATGTTTATAAAAATATATATAGTTTAGTAGTCATTTGTTAAGGTATTAAGTTTAAAAGTTGTGATTAAATAAAAATATTGCAACATAAGTATAAAAACTAAATTTCTTGTATACGATTTATAAATCGAACAAATATTTAGTTGTAGTAACTTATGACAAATTATAGCACTTAAAAATACACGAGGACAATTAAAAAGAGTCCTAGTTTCTTCGCTTTATCATTTGCTAAAGGGATAATTAGGAATATTAACCCTTTCATGGTTATAATGAACTAAACTATAGACTAGACTAAAGACTAGGCCATAAACTAGACTATAGACTGGCTATACTCTAGAATGCAGACTATAATGTAGGTTAGACTATAGACTAGCCTATACCCGCAAGGGTATCCTATGGATAGGATAACGGGATTTACAACCCCGCGGACCCTAGTATATCAAGGCCGGGCTCAGGGCTACTAAATTTATATAGTGGATTGGCCTTCAGATATGTTGACTAACTTAAAACATAGTCCAGATAGTCTATAGACTAGACTATTGTCCAGACTGTAGACTAGACTATAGTCCAGACTATAGACTAGACTATAGTTCAGACTATAGACTAGACTATAGTTCAGACTATAGACTAGACTGGCCTTCAGATATGTTGATTAACTGAAAACATAGTCTAGACTATAGAGTAGACTACAGTCCAGACTATAGACTAGACTATATTACAGACTATAGGCTAGACTTTAGTCCAGACTATAGACTGAACTATAAACCAGGCTATAGATTAGACTATAGTCCAGACTATTGATTAGACTATAGTCAAGACTATAGATTAGACTATAGTCCAGACTATAGATTAGACTATAGTCCAGACTATAGATTAGACTATAGTTTAGACTATAGTCCAGACTGTAGACTAGATTATAGTCCAGACTATAGCTTAGTCTATAGACCAGACTGTAGTCCAGACTACAAACTAGAATATAGTCTAGTCTATAGTCCAGACTATAGTTCAGACTATAAACTAGACTATAGTCTAGTCTAGTCTATAGTCCAGACTATAGACTAGATTATAGTCCAGACTATAGACTAGACTATAGTCCAAACTATTGTATTATAGACTTCACTATAGACTAGACTACAGTCCACACTATAGACTAGACTATAGTCCACACTATAGACTAGACTATAGTCCACACTATAGACTATACTATAGTCCACACTATGGACTAGACTATAGTCCACACTGGACTACACTATAGTATACACTATGGACTACACTATAATCCACCCTATCGACTAGACTATAGTACAGACTATAGACTAGACTATAGTCCAGACTGTAGACTAGACTATAGTCCAGAATATAGACTAGACTAAAGACCAGACTATAGACTAGACTAAAGTCTAGACTATAGACTAGACTATAGTCCAGACTATAGACTAGACTAAAGTCCAGACTATAGAATAGACTATAGTCCAGACTATAGACTATAGAATAGCCTACAGTCCAGACTATAGAATAGACTATAGAATAGACTATAGTCCAGACTATAGAATACTACAGTCCAGACTATAGAATAGACTGCAGTCCAGACTATAGTCCAGACTATATAATAGATTATAGTCCATACTATAATAGATTATAGTCCAGACTATAGTTCAGACTGTAGACTAGAATCTAGTAGACTAGAATCTAGACTATAAACTAGAATATATATATCAGTCTGCGTTTGTAACATTTAGTTTCAGGTTTTGTTAAGTTGGTCGCATTAAGCATAAATATGTTCTAAAATTGCACTGTTTAACTAGTACAAGTTTTATAAACAGCTCATACGTTATAACGTAAGTGACGACGTAAAAAACTCTCTCACTCTTTAACGCTCTCTGCATAAGCCAAAGTTAACCAGTCTTTTACTCTCTTTTCTCCGGCACACATATGATTTTAAAGTTTTATTAACTCTTTTTCTGAGCTGCTTTTTGTCTTCAATTGTGGCTTTTGGCTGTGGTTTTTGTTATTGTTTTTAGCTGGTTTTTATTATTGTTGTTGTTCAAGACATTTGGTCTTTTAGCTTTTGGTTGTAAACCACCTTGAGTTTAGTCTGTCGTGATACGCGTTTATGAGACGTGGTACTAGTTTAACTAACGGTTGGTAGTAGAGCGTTTCGAAAAAATAAAGATTTTTTTGTATGAATTGTTTGATTTTTTGGGGAGACAACTTAACAGTTGGTGACAAACGTGCGTTTTTTTTTTCTGTTAAATAAAAAAAAGTGTGTGTGTTTTTTGAATTATAGGAAAATTTGAAAAGAAAAGATATGAAATGAAAAAATTTAAAACAAAAGAAACGTTTTAATATTTAAAAGCCTTAATAATAAATACAATGTTTACTGCTTATGATTTTGTGTGTTGATAGTATTTTATTAACAAAATATTTATATAAAAAAAAGAGAAAAAATATTTTTGTTGAAATTTAATTAAAATGCAAACAACGTTTATTTGCATTTTTCTTTAGTAGACGTAACACCAACGCGTTTTCTATATAAATAAAAATTGGAAATTAAATGGAATTGTTATTGGAATTGAAATACAATACAAAAAACCCTTAATAAGCTGAAAAAAAATATTTAATATTTTTTTATATACAAAAAAAAAAATTTAAAGAAAATAGCTTTTACTTTATTTAAAAGTTTGACTATATTATAACGCAATATGTTTTAAAAAAATTTTAATTAATTTAGTTTTTTTGTTGTTGTTATGGCAGCTTTAAGTGTTTTAATTAAGCTTTTATTAGTTATTTTAAAATAATGAATATTTTATTAAACAAATGCATTCTTGCATTCAAGCGTGTAATAACAAATATTGTGCAAATTTGCCAATATTGAAATAATTATTAAAAACTAATAACAAACAAAAGTTAATAATTCGATTTTTTTTGTATGCAACGTTTGTGTCTTAAGTCTTTTGTTTTAGATTGTTAAAGTTTTTAGAAAGGAATTATTACTTAATGAACTAATTTAATTACTCAAAATGTTTATAATTATAATAAATTAATATGAAAAAACAACTATATAAACAAATAATTATGAAAATTATAACTCAATAATTGAAAATAAATGCAAATCTTGGCAAAAAAAAAACCAAACAATTTAAAAAGTGTTTTGCAATACTTTTAAACAAATAACTTAAAGTTTTATAATATAAATAAATTAATATGTTGCGTTTTGCAAATGGTGTAGAGTACACCATTTGAATTCTAAATAAATAAACAAAAGTATTTTTGAATACGCGAGCAAACATGGTTTCAAGAAAGTGTTTACTGTTTTAAAACTTTTATTTTTTTAAACAAATATTTCGTCGAAATTTAAAAAGTTAATTTCAAATAAGATTTTAAACGAAACAATGAATTTTAAAGTGATTTTAAAAGAAATTTTTAATTTTTCAAATGGTATTCGAAAGTAAAATTAAAAATCTAGTAAAAACGTAAAATTTTTAAATAATTTTAAAATTTCGATGAATTTTGTTTTGATATCTATGACTTTTATTAAAACATTTTCTTTTCATATATTAAATGAAATCTTGTGAAAAGTTCAGTTGTCTTTTGTTGTTATGTTTGTCATATTTAATTGTTACTTTATATCATTATAACTTCCCCAAATTTGTCTCTAAATTTGTGGTTATCATTGACACCTTTTTAAATTTAGTTTATTGTTTTGTAATTAACCCAAATTACAATTTTAGGGTGTCTTCTTTTTAATAGCTCGGCAATTAAAAAGTTTATAGCCATGATTAAAAAAACATCGTTTAACAATTAAAAATTTGTCAAATTTACATAAAAAGTTTAAATGTAAAGAAAAATAGAGTCTAGTGTATGGTATTGGCTGTAATGTAGTCCTTGGTTTGAATATAGCATGTAATACAGTCTAGTTCATAGTCTTTTCCATAGTTTAGTCCATAGTCTAGTGTATTGTCTAGTCTATAGTCTAGTCTACATTCCGTAATCTATTCTGTAGCCTTTAGTCTAGTGTGTAGTCTTTAGTGTACAGTCTAGTCTATAGTCTCTCATAGTCTAGTCTGTAGTCAAGTCTATAGTCTGGTCTATCGTCTAGTCTATAGTCTAGTCTATAGTTTAGTCGAAAATATAGTCTACAGTTCAGTTCTAGTTCAGTTCTAGTTCAGTTCTAGTTCAGTTCTAGTTCAGTTCTAGTTCAGTTCTAGTTCAGTTCTAGTTCAGTTCTAGTTCAGTTCTAGTTCAGTTCTAGTTCAGTTCTAGTTCAGTTCTAGTTCAGTTCTAGTTCAGTTCTAGTTCAGTTCTAGTTCAGTTCTCTTCAGTTCTAGTTCAGTTCTAGTTCAGTTCTAGTTCAGTTCTAGTTCAGTTCTAGTTCAGTTCTAGTTCAGTTCTAGTTCAGTTCTAGTTCAGTTCTAGTTCAGTTCTAGTTCAGTTCTAGTTCAGTTCTAGTTCAGTTCTAGTTCAGTTCTAGTTCAGTTCTAGTTCAGTTCTAGTTCAGTTCTAGTTCAGTTCTAGTTCAGTTCTAGTTCAGTTCTAGTTCAGTTCTAGTTCAGTTCTAGTTCAGTTCTAGTTCAGTTCTAGTTCAGTTCTAGTTCAGTTCTAGTTCAGTTCTAGTTCAGTTCTAGTTCAGTTCTAGTTCAGTTCTAGTTCAGTTCTAGTTCAGTTCTAGTTCAGTTCTAGTTCAGTTCTAGTTCAGTTCAAGTTCAGTTCTAGTTCAGTTCTAGTTCAGTTCTAGTTCAGTTCTAGTTCAGTTCTAGTTCAGTTCTAGTTCAGTTCTAGTTCAGTTCTAGTTCAGTTCTAGTTCAGTTCTTTCAGTTCTAGTTCAGTTCTAGTTCAGTTCTAGTTCAGTTTAGTTCAGTTCTAGTTCAGTTCTAGTTCTAGTTCAGTTCTAGTTCAGTTCTAGTTCAGTTCTAGTTCAGTTCTAGTTCAGTTCTAGTTCAGTTCTAGTTCAGTTCTAGTTCAGTTCTAGTTCAGTTCTAGTTCAGTTCTAGTTCAGTTCTAGTTCAGTTCTAGTCAGTTCTAGTTCAGTTCTAGTTCAGTTCTAGTTCAGTTCTAGTCAGTTCTAGTTCAGTTCTAGTTCAGTTCTAGTTCAGTTCTAGTTCAGTTCTAGTTCAGTTCTAGTTCAGTTCTAGTTCAGTTCTAGTTCAGTTCTAGTTCAGTTCTAGTTCAGTTCTAGTTCAGTTCTAGTTCAGTTCTAGTTCAGTTCTAGTTCAGTTCTAGTTCAGTTCTAGTTCAGTTCTAGTTCAGTTCTAGTTCAGTTCTAGTTCAGTTCTAGTTCAGTTCTAGTTCAGTTCTAGTTCAGTTCTAGTTCAGTCTAGTTCAGTTCTAGTTCAGTTCTAGTTCAGTTCTAGTTCAGTCTAGTTCAGTTCTAGTTCAGTTCTAGTTCAGTTCTAGTTCAGTTCTAGTTCAGTTCTAGTTCAGTTCTAGTTCAGTTCTAGTTCAGTTCTAGTTCAGTTCTAGTTCAGTTCTAGTTCAGTTCTAGTTCAGTCTAGTTCAGTTTAGTCAGTTCTAGTTCAGTTCTAGTTCAGTTCTAGTTCAGTTCTAGTTCAGTTCTAGTTCTTCTAGTTCCGTTCTAGTTCTAGTTCAGTTCTAGTTCAGTTCTAGTTCAGTTCTAGTTCAGTTCTAGTTCAGTTCTAGTTCAGTTCTAGTTCAGTTCTAGTTCAGTTCTAGTTCAGTTCTAGTTCAGTTCTAGTTCAGTTCTAGTTCAGTTCTAGTTCAGTTCTAGTTCAGTTCTAGTTCAGTTCTAGTTCAGTTCTAGTTCAGTTCTAGTTCAGTTCTAGTTTAGTTCTAGTTCAGTTCTAGTTCAGTTCTAGTTCAGTTCTAGTTCAGTTCTAGTTCTGTTCTAGTTCTGTTCTAGTTCTGTTCTAGTTCTGTTCTAATTCTGTTCTAGTTCTGTTCTAGTTCTGTTCTAGTTCTGTTCTAGTTATGTTCTAGTTCTGTTCTAGTTATGTTCTAGTTCTGTTTTAGTTCTGTTCTAGTTCTGTTCTAGTTCTGTTCTAGTTTTGTTCTAGTTTTGTTCTAGTTCTGTTCAAGTTCTGTTCTAGTTCTGTTCTAGTTCAGTTCTAGTTCAGTTCGTTTAGTTCGTTTCCAATTCAGCCTTTAAATAATCTTTTATTTCTATTATCTTTAAACTTTTTTAATGGGGCGGGGTTTATGATATTATGAATTAAGTTAGAATACATTAATTTAATTTTTATCTATTTCAAATGTGTTTGCAAACATTATAGTTGTCTTTATATGGCCATGCTTTTTTCTGTTCAGACTAGTTTTGCAATATTGTTTTTTTGTCTTAACTATAGAATGTGTTTTTTTATAATGAACCAATAACTTTTAAATTGATTTCGATTTATTATATTTGTTGCAGAAACCTTGCTTTTGCTTAACGAACAATCTCTTGTTAATGAAAAATAAGCAGGCGGCAAAGATTAAAACAAGTTCGTGTCTTAAATCTTTTGTTTATTTACTAGAAGCAGCATTAACATTAAATATTTAATGACAAATATATATATGTTTTTTGCGGCGAATATATATTTAATAACACAATTTAAGTTGGTATATAAAAAGAAAACTTTATAAAACAAGAAAAATATATAAAGAAAATAATAACAACAAAACAAATGACCTTTAAGATATTAAACGCGCTTTAAGTGGCAAACAAGTGGAAACAACACGAATTAAAAAACATTACACAAAAAAAAAAATTTAAGAAATAAATAACCAATAACTAAAAGCTTTAAGAAGAAAAAAAAATTAAACAATTATTTTGAAAAGTTGAAAAAAATTTTGAAAACTATTAAAATGTTATAAATGCCAATAAGCAATAACAGCAACAACAAAAAACAACTTAGAAAATTTAAAAAAATGAATGGTTGGCTATAAACAAATTAAAATAAAGAAAAAAATCAAGGTGATTTACAAATACAAGATTTTAAAAATAATAAAAAACAAATCTAAATAAAACAAGAAAACAATTAAATTTAGAAAAATTGTGAATTATTAATCATAAAATTTAAAAAACCGTTATATTGTTTACAAAAAAATATTTTAAACCGAATAATAATTTAAAAAATGTTCTATTTTAATTACAGCTAAACAATTTTTAAATTTTAAAACAAAAGACATGTTTTTTATATAAAACTGGTTAATTTTTTTATTTAAATTTAATATTTTTATTTTTGTATAATTTTGAAAAAAAAACCTTAAAAAAACTAAAACTTGTCTTTTGTTTATACAACAAAAAAATTAAAAAAAAAAAACAATTTTTGTTTTAAAATTTCAACCAAATCAACATCATAATACCGGCTTTATAAAAAAACCTACAGCAATAATAAAACCAACAACAAACAGCCAGACAACATCAACACAACGACAACAATTTTAGTTGTGGATATTTTAAAATGTTCAACATGTTTAAGGCGGCAGTTAAAATGCTGCCCATGTTGCTGCTACTGCTGTTAAAGCTGACGATGATGAGCAATTACGTTAACGCACAAGGTGAGTAGCTTTTTTACACTTGTCTTTTATTCGTCTTCTTCTTATTATTTTTGGGAAAAAACACAAAAGCATTATGAAATTGATATTATAGCTAAAATCTTTAGTCATTGATAAAAGAATCATTTTTAAGAGAAAAAACATTGTAATAAATTCTTTTAAATATTCTAAGGAGTCCCCCGTATTATTTTTTCTGTTTAAGCTTAAAGTTATGTAAAAGTTTTGATTTAACAAAAGTGATATTTTTTCTTTTGTTTTTGTGAATGTTAAAGTCATCAACCTTATTTACGTTATTTATTTTGTCATAAGCAAATAACTAAAGAAAAATATAAAAAAAAAATATTTTTCATCCTTTAATGTTATATCACTCTTGGGGACAGAAGTTAAATACGTGAATATATTACGAAATGGTTAAGGGGAAGGAAAGCTAAGTAAAGTTAAAAAGCTAAAAATAAATAGTGAATGGGGTTTTAGTTCAGTTCTAGTTAAGTTTTAGTTCAGTTCTAGTCAGTTCTAGTTCAGTTCTAGTTCAGTTCTAGTTCAGTTCTAGTTCAGTTCTAGTTCAGTTCTAGTTCAGTTCTAGTTCAGTTCTAGTTCAGTTCTAGTTCAGTTCTAGTTCAGTTCTAGTTCAGTTCTAGTTCAGTTCTAGTTCAGTTCTAGTTCAGTTCTAGTTCAGTTCTAGTTCAGTTCTAGTTCAGTTCTAGTTCAGTTCTAGTTCAGTTAGTTCAGTTCTAGTTCAGTTCGTTCAGTTCTAGTTCTAGTTCAGTTTAGTTTAGTTCTAGTTCAGTTCTAGTTCAGTTCTAGTTCAGTTCTAGTTCAGTTCTAGTTCAGTTCTAGTTCAGTTCTAGTTCAGTCAGTTCAGTTCAGTTCTAGTTCAGTTCTAGTTCAGTTCTAGTTCAGTTCTAGTTCAGTTCTAGTTCAGTTCTAGTTCAGTTCTAGTTCAGTTCTAGTTCAGTTCTAGTTCAGTTCTAGTTCAGTTCTAGTTCAGTTCTAGTTCAGTTCTAGTTCAGTTTAGTTCAGTTCTAGTTCAGTTCTAGTTCAGTTCTAGTTCAGTTCTAGTTCAGTTCTAGTTCAGTTCTAGTTCAGTTCTAGTTCAGTTCTAGTTCAGTTCTAGTTTCAGTTCTAGTTCAGTTCTAGTTCAGTTCTAGTTTCAGTTCTAGTTCAGTTCTTAGTTTCCTTCTAGTTCAGTTCTAGTCAGTCTAGTTCAGTCTAGTTCAGTTCTAGTTCAGTTCTAGTTCAGTCTGTCAAGTTCTAGTTCAGTTCTAGTTCAGTTCTAGTTCAGTTCTAGTTCAGTTCTAGTTCAGTTCTAAGTTCATTTCTAGTTCAGTTCTAGTTAAGTTCTAGTAGCTTCTTTCCAGTTCTAGTTCAGTTCTAGTTCAGTTCTAGTTCAGTTCTAGTTCAGTTCTAGTTCAGTTCTAGTTCAGTTCTAGTTCAGTTCTAGTTCAGTTCTAGTTCAGTCTAGTTCAGTTCTAGTTCGTTCTAGTTCAGTTCTAGTTCAGTTCTAGTTCAGTTCTAGTTCAGTTCTAGTTCAGTTGTCTAGTTCAGTTCAGTTGTCAGTTCTAGTTCAGTTCTAGTTCAGTTCTAGTTCAGTTCTAGTTCAGTTCTAGTTAGTTCTAGTTCAGTTCTAGTTCAGTTCTAGTTCAGTTCTAGTTCAGTTCTAGTTCAGTTCTAGTTCAGTTTAGTTCAGTTCTAGTTCAGTTCTAGTTCAGTTCTAGTTCTAGTTCAGTTCGAGTTCAGTTCTAGTTCAGTTCTAGTTCAGTTCTAGTCAGTTCTAGTTCAGTTCTAGTTCAGTTCTAGTATCAGTTCTAGTTCAGTTCTAGTTCAGTTCTAGTCAGTTCTAGTTCAGTTCTAGTTCAGTTCTAGTTCAGTTCTAGTTCAGTTCTAGTTCAGTTCTAGTTCAGTTCTAGTTCAGTTCTAGTTCAGTTCTAGTTCAGTTCTAGTTCAGTTCTAGTTCAGTTCTAGTTCAGTTCTAGTTCAGTTCTAGTTCAAGTTCAGTTCAGTTCTAGTTCAGTTCTAGTTCAGTTCTAGTTCAGTTCTAGTTCAGTTCTAGTTCAGTTCTAGTTCAGTTTCTAGTTCAGTTCTAGTTCAGTCTAGTTCAGTTCTAGTTCAGTTCTAGTCAGTTCTAGTTCAGTTCTAGTTCAGTTCTAGTTCAGTTCTAGTTTCAGTTCTAGTTCAGTTCTAGTTCAGTTCTAGTTCAGTTCTAGTTCAGTTCTAGTTCAGTTCTAGTTCAGTTCTAGTTCAGTTCTAGTTCAGTTCTAGTTCAGTTCTAGTTCAGTTCTAGTTTCTAGTTCTAGTTCTAGTTCATGTTTATTTCAGTTCTAGTTCAGTTCTAGTTCAGTTCTAGTTCAGTTCTAGTTCAGTTCTAGTTCAGTTCTAGTTCAGTTCTAGTTCAGTTTCAGTTCAGTTCTAGTTCAGTTCTAGTTCAGTTGTAGTTCAGTCTCGTAGTTCTAGTTCAAGTTCTAGTTTCAGTTCTAGTTTCAGTTCTAGTTCAGTTCTAGTTCAGTTTCTAGTTCATTTCTAGCTCAGTTCTAGTTCAAGTTCTAGCTTCAGTTTCTAGTTTGTTTAGTTCAGTTCTAGTTCAGTTCTAGGTTCAGTTCAGTAGTTCAGTTCTAGTTCAGTTTAGTTCAGTTCTAGTTCAGTTCTAGTTTCAATTCTAGTTCAGTTCTAGTTTCAGTTCTAGTTCAGTTCTAGTTTCGGTTCTAGTTTCAGTTCTAGTTTCAGTTCTAGTTCAGTTCTAGTGTCAGTTCAAGTTCAGTTCTAGTTCTATATCTACTTCAGTTCTACTTCAGTTCTCGTTCGGTTTCTCCTATGGATTTAACACACTTTGCGCTTTAAATTAACCAAATAACTTGTAATATTTTAAACTTCATTAAAATTCCTAAAAGTAGACAAAATCAACTCCTTTTTTAAGAAAAAATTTAAACAACTACTTGACATTTGCAAAATAAAATAACTAACTAAAACAAAGTGCACAAAAAGTGTGCCTTTGTTAGCTTCTCCTTATTGATTAAAATCTTAAAGTGTAATAATTATAAGGCAACATAAAAACAACAACAATAAAATTACAAAAACCACAACCACTACCAAGTCCAACTAGCACCATTAAAATCAACTAAATAAATCCATGGAAAACGTCTCTAAGGTAAACCGCTAGTTAACAAGCGGTTTACTACTGGTTTTCAAAATATTGTGTTTTTCTAACTTATGCCAAGTTGTCTTCTCTCGTTCTTTTTAAACAAGTCCGCGAATTCTTCTTCTTTTCGCTTGAGCTTCTAAACTGTCAAAGTTATTTGTTTGTTTATTTTTCTAGGTTTTTTTTATGAATTTGTTTACAAAACAATAGGGTTTCTATTACTTATTACAGCAACAACTGGTTGTGGTAAAATAATTGTAAACAAAACACAGAAATAGAGATGGTTATTGTCCGTCTGTCCAACCGTTTGTCTTTGTGTCCATTGGCTTTGAGTTTTGTTTGATTTGACTTTTCTATGCTTGTTATATTTTTTTAACTGGCAGGCGCTTTTTGAGGTTTTCAACTCTATTTGTTTGGTTTTTGTTTATTTTTTATTTTGGTGTTTGTTTGTGTACTGTGTTCCAACATCATGTATTATTTTTGGTTTATTTTCTTTCACCATTTTTTTTTCAACAAAATGTCAGTTTGTTGTGTTGTTTATTTGTAAAATTATTTGTTTTTTTTTTCTTGCAATTTTGTCTGTATCTTTCTTTAAAGTTATTTATGGCACAAGCTTGCCATGAGCAAATAATTGTACAGGGCAGTAGTTTTAGACAAACGTACTCTGTACATTGCTGTAGCACAAAGTTGTTAAACATAATAATAACAAGTAAGAGTGTTATATTCGGCTGTGCCGAATCTCATATACCCACCATCAAACCGTATGCCGTAAAAGGAATGCTCCCCTATAAACATCAGCGTGATATTTGGAATATGGCTTAAGTCAATTATGGCCAGAGCTCTTTTGAACTACCAAAATATTAATTAAAAAAAAAAAACAAATATTTTATTTCAATTCTTAAACCGTGAGCGTCAATTATGAACCGATAATCATAAAATTTTGTACATAGATTATGTATAGGACTTGTTTATGCAAAATTTCAGCGCTATACTCGTATTTTAAATAAGGAACACTCGTAGTTATTAAAGAAAACTCTTTCCTGAAGGGAACCTTTTGTGTATTACCAACACATTCCGCATGAAATTCGGAGCGAATTTTATAACCGTATTTCATAACTCATATTTTTAAGCCAGTAATGATCGTTTAAGTAATTTTCTGAAAATTAAATTATGGACCGATCCTCCCTAAATTTGGTGGAGAGATTTTGGCAAGCATTACACTTATGTGCGTCAATTTTCGTCACATTCATATTTTTAAGCCAGTAATGAGCATTGTAGTTATTTGCAGAGGGAGACCTTATATGGGGGAAGGGTCATTTATGGGCCGATCCAAAAAAAAAATTGGTTCAGAGGTTTTGGCTCGTAAGAAACTTACGTGTGTAGCATTTCATCGTTTTACTCGTTTTTTTAAGACAGTAATGAGCGTTTAAGCTATTTTCTGAAGTGGACCCAATAGGGAGAGTAGGGCCAATTATGGACCTATCCACATAAAAGTTATTAAAAAGATTTTGGCTCTTGAGGAACTTAATTGTTTAAAATTTTATTGCTATATTCATATTTTTTAGCTAGTAATGATCGTTAAAGTCATTTTCAGAAGGGGACCTTATATGGGGGAAAGGGTCATTTATGGGCCGATCTTAAAAAAAATTCGTAGAGCGATTTTGGTTCGTAAGAAACTTACTTATACCGAATTTCATAGCTATACTCGCATTTTTGGACAGTAATGAGTGTTAAAGTAATTTTCTAAAGGGGACCTTATATGGGGGGTAGGGTCAATTATGGACCGATCCTCAAAAAAATTGGTCGGAAATTTTTGGCTCACATGAAACTTATTTATGTCGAATTTCATCGCTATACTTGCATTTTGGGG